TCAACTGTTTTGTTGTTTTTTACTTGCCAGTTAGGCTTGGAAAAAAAATTTTTGCGCTTGCATGAAAATGTAATAAAACTAAGAAAAAGGCCAAAGAAGATGGCAGCAATGTGACGCCTGATAAATGAAAGGTGTTTTGGTTTAAGATGCTCATGTCCCTGATTATTCAGATCAGGTAATCATTTCACAGTTCATGGATCCACGCGGACAGATCCACAAAACAAACATGTTCTAGAAGAAGATCTTTCTTTGATGGAACGATCCATGAAATATCTTCAACAGGATCAAGTTCAAAAACATCTTCTTAAGAGGAATGTAATCTGTTTCTGTTTTGGTTCCTTACTTATTTATTGAATTTTGTTCAACTATTGTTGCAAGAATAACTTTTTTCCATCTAAAAGCTTTGCAAATTAAAATTATGTATATAAAAAAAATATATTTTTTATTTGTTTTCCGTATTTCAATTTAATATCTATTTTTTCAAGAGAAGGTCTGAAAGGTTACTTGTTTTTTTCAGTGTGTCTTTTCACATTTCTGTTTTAAATCTGAGTTTGGACACTGATTTTGTTTTATTACAATACGTGAGGCTGAAAAATAAAATAAAATACAGCTGGGAAAAGGCACTGGGGCTTTTTTTAGCTTGAAAAGCAGCAGTGTCGCTATCTTTTATGGAGTGTTATGTTATTATAGGTGTATAAATAAACTGATTCTGGAAAAAAGTGGAAAAAAACTCGCTTCTTATTTTTTTGTGGCCATCGAAATGCTTCAGTGTTATTCTATGGGTCAAATAGTAAAGAACAGCATAGTAAAAGCATTTGGCACAATTGGAGATTTTTGGAGACGCCAAAGGTTCCAAACCCCACAGCTCTGGAACTGTTGTAGCTAGAGGTCTGAAATCTTTTGGCATTTGTGGTTGACATGATGTAGAACAAATATGATATGATGAGACCTGCCTTTTCTGAAGAATGTCTTTATTATTGCTGATGAAAAAAGACTGATGCAGCTTGGTCTGCGTTTTAATCACCCAGTTGTAATTTATATAGATTTATATATATTCATTCAGAAACTAGGTGTTAGCTTTCAAATAATGTGCTGCGCATGTGATTTGGGCGTACATTTTCTAAGTTATTCACTTTTCCATCTGGGTATGCAAAATAGGCGAGAATCTCCCAAAATAGGTGGATGTTAATAGGTTCGTGTGTTTTACCGTATATTCAATTTGGCTTAAATTTTTTGTTTAATTTTTCCAATTTCTGTTATTCCACATTTTCTTTTTTCAGGCTGATTTTGATAATAGTATTATTTTCAAATAGCTTTTTACAAATTGTGCTTTATTTACTCATCAGGAATTCCAGGCATTCCTCTGGAATGAGAAACTAAGATGCTTTTCTATTGGCCTGGATGCGCAAAAGGTTTGTATTGGACATGACTTGAAACCTCTGAATGTATGTAGATATAGATGCCTTTAACTGATTTCCAAATGGATTATTTTTTTCTATTTAATTCTGAAATAAATAAAAGTGTAAGCCTATTATATATTTGTGGCAACATTTATAACCGTCAATGATAAAAATCCTCATTAAGAACCAGCTGTAAAGGAAACAAAAGACTGCGAAAGGTTCTTAGTTCTTAAAACACATGTTATCTTGGCTGTGTATGTGAGACAAAGGATGTGCTGTATAATTGCAACAAATGAAAAAATACAGTTTCTTTTCTGGACAGCATTCTTTGTCAAATTTTCTTTCTTAAATGTTGTTTTCCTGCAACAAATTGTAATCAAATTGACTCCATACTTGCTCAGGGTTTTTCAAACATGCAACAGGAAAATGCAGAGGAGTGAAAACTTAAAGAATCAAGATCATTTAGATCACCCAAGTATTTAGCATCTGTTTTTTTGTTTTGAGTTTTTGAAAATAGGAGTTTTTTAGTGTATGTTACTCTAAGAGCAGCTCAGCCATCCAGGTGTGTGGGGGTAAAGCAATTATAAAACAAATCAATCATCACTTGGATCCAGGGCATTTTGAGTTCCAATGGAAAAGTCTGTCTGGAACAGTGAGATGTTTAGACAGAGAGTGATCATGTAAGTTGGGAAAATTATAAAACATTGTATAACGCTGCAAAACATTGGTGATGCTTTGAGATGTTTTGCGTTTAAATTATCTCCCCATACAACAGAAGACTGGTGTAGAATAATGTTTCATTAAGATTTCGCCAACAAGAGGAAATCTGCTTCTCTCTAATGGTTGGGTTGGAATAAATCAGGAGAAAACTTCCAGAAACTGTTATCCCTCCCTTCATATTAAACTCTAACATTTCACTCTCAGGTGTCTTTTATCCGTCTTCAGTGAAAAACAAAAAGTCACACATGATTTGAGTGAAGTAACAGTTTTTAATTAGAAGTTTTGTACAATAAATTTTACATTTTCACAAGCTAGGAAGTTAATGATGTCAGACAGTCAAGGGAGTCAGCGTCTTGAGAGAAACAACTTCCGGTCATTTCAGACAACAGATGGGTTGATGATATATGGCAAACTGTTAACTTTCCTCAGCTAATAGCAGCTCTCTGGAGCTCAATCAAACCTTTAAAAAAAAATCATTCTAAAAGGCTGTAATCTGGGATTTAACAACTGATTTAAATAAAAAAGACGACAGAAACCTCAGAATCGGTTCTGATCAAGAAGGTTAATGTAAACCAGCTTCATTCCAAACGTCTCTCAATCAACTTATAAGAGATCACTTCAGATTCCTCCTTGCTGTTAATTATTCCCTTTCTTAGTATTCTTAAAAGACTCTTAAAAGAATTAGAATATCCGCTCAAAACAGTAATAACAATCCGTTTCATTCACTTCAGCTCATTAAAAATAAAAAATAAATCAGTAGATAAAAGATAGAAAAATAAGTGTCAATCTTAGCCAACTTATTTCAGCCACTTCATAAAATGGGATTCATCGTACAAACAATATACTTTAACTACAAGGAGAGGCTCATCCTCTGTCTCAGATGCAATAATATTCCATAATCATATACATAAAGAGAGAAATATACATTAAGGTGTTCATAAAAAACAATATTTTCTTATTCGTTTTACCCTAAACTGAACTGAAAGTCTGAATAGATCACAATGCTCTGAAATAGAATATAATTAGCCATTAACTTGTCTGGTTCAAAGGTTTCAGCCAAGTACATACAGTGCATATACCATGTTTATGCTGGATAAATAACATTGAGGCTCTACTATACATTAACTGTGTTTTGAGAAGCTACACCGCAGCAGCGAGTCTTAAGTGCTCCTGTCAGATTTGGAACGGTTGAAGAGGGAAGCTCAACATGCCGAGGCGTCCTGATCACAAGCTGGGAGGAAAAAGTCTGAAGGGAAAGAGGTTGGATTTCCTCTGGGGGGAATCAGAGACTCCCCCACAGGACCCCTCAGCTGTTCTGTTAAACTACAAAAAAAAAAAAAACAGTGGATTTAAAGTTTTGATTATGATGACATGGCTCTTTAGAAAGACTTCATTTTGTTTAAACATCCTGGAGGGTTTATGTAGTGGAAACAAGTAATGAGCCGCGATGGACAGGTGTTCCGGTTTTAGAGGCTGTTTGATGAACTATGCAGGTAGATCGATTGATTGGTTGGGTGCTTATAACAGTCAAGTCAAATCCACACATTATTTTCTACTGATTTATTGTCTACATTTTCAACAGAGTAACTAAATTAATCAACCAGTTACTGCAACGGCACATTCTCTAGCTTTGTTTCGTAAAAGATATTCTGGCATCTCGTACTTGTTGCCTCAAAGCTGAGCTTGGAAACATGCAGAACTAACATGGGTCAGTTCCCACCAGTTGTTACAGCACAGAGGGGAACATTTAGGAGCTAAACAAATTGCAAAAATGCTTGGAAACTATTATGCATAAAATTGAACTGGATTTTTTTTTAGGAGATTGACTGGATAGAAAAAAAATCTAATCTCCAACAATTCTTGTATAGCTTTTGTCTGATTACATTTTCCAAACTGTGATTTATGTTGGAGGCAGCATCATGCCGTAAGAGATTTTTATTTTGGTACTTAGTCGAAAGACAGAGGTTCTACTGTTAGTAGAATAAACCAAGACATACAGCTAAGTCTACATACCGCTAAATAGGGTACCCGCACTAAAGCTTGAGACTAAAGAAGAAATTGTAATAGGTGTAATACTTATTCCACACCACTAGGTGGCAGAGTGATGTCACCACTGATGTAACGAAGTTAGCAGAAGTAATAAAGAAGCAGAATGCAAAGAATGAGCGCAGAAAGTGTGTTTGAGTGGGCCGGTGAAAGGGGGGGCGAAATACGAGTGTACATTCCCAGATATGTTGAAAAGGTTATTATCCGTACATCGTAAAATGTATGCTAAATGTAGCTGAGGATGTTTTTGCCAGTTTCCAAGTTTTAGTCAGTACCAAAGTACATAACCACATCCATATGGGTCTGGACAAAAGTCTAAGAGTGACAATAAAAAGTTTCAGATTAAACAATGTTTAGAATGACCTAGTCAAAGTCTGAATAATGACTGCATAGAGGCTTCCCAACCAATCAAACTGACATTTGGAAAAAACAGTCATTGCTCCACCACATTCTGTTGATTTCTTCATTATGCACTACTTTTTAACCAATAAAAACACTCATGATTACCGTTGCACCACTTTCTTGTCATTAAAATTGAGTTTTTCCTCTTCACCTTCACTGCATGCATGCTTCCTAAAAAGAATTGCTTTAGAGCCAACGAAAAAAATGCTATTGAACATCTACTGTCACTGCCAGGAGGGAATCCTGCAAGTTAATTAACAAAAAACCGAGTAGAAGACTTCTAACCGATCTGTCTGGATGATTCGATTAAATTGATCACATGTTCTGAACTGGCGCCATAGAAATAACCTGGATTGAATAAACAATAAATAGTTTGATTTGTTTTGCAAAGCTGCTGTAAAGAAAGCATATTTTAGCCACTAATCAACAAATTTAACCATCGCCTAAGTAAACTGTATATTGTCAGAAATCAGTGCATGTCATGTTTACCAGTTTGCACACGGTCTGTGGTTGGAGGGGGTTTTATGAAAGAGTCAATTAAAAGCTCCAAGTCTAAGGAAGCATAGAATTTCAGGGTGGTGGGGATTAAAGCAAGAGTCGTAGGACACAGTTGACAAGTATAAGCCTATTTATTTGGCAGCTCTTGTCCTGCCAGGCTCGGAGGTACAACAGATCCAACTTTGAGTTGATTGCTCAGGAGCTTTGCTGTCACCTTCCTCTGCGGAACGAAAGAACGGAGAATTATAAGGACTGGAGTCCAGAAAAGATGCAGCTCGCCTGCTATTTAACCTTTCTATGGGTCTGTATTCAGCTTTTATTGTCTGCATGTGCAACGTGTGCACTACTTGTTTGTGGGACTTTGCCATGTGTGCTTATCTCAGCTGACATTAGTGTTCAGTATGAGCTACAGTGAAGACATTTTGGGCACGGATGCTGAAACATTTCAGATGGTTTCTAAGCAGGTAGTGTGAATTTGAACCTTCATTGAGCTCATAAAAATGTAAAATACCAGATCACATCATTATCAAAACATACACAAATCACAGAGGAGACTTAACAACACCAAAAAAAGGCTGCCCGAGTGATAAGTTGTAGCTTTTACTGAACTTTACTGTGACTCTTAAGCAAATGATCCCACCGATAGCCTCAATACACAAACAGACTTGGGTGAAAATGAACAGACAACTCTGAGAACTGATGTTAATATACACTGTGTTCCAAGAGTTCTCGCTCGTCCATTAGTGGAACGTAGTCCTCAGAGTATTTTATCTGCCTGAACCGACAGCATTCATAGTGGCTTCATATCCACTATTTCTGACTAAACCAAATGAGTTAAATGCCTAATACATCACAGTTTTAGCATTAAGCTGCAACACAAATAAACAAAGAAAAAACAACAGATGGAAAGAAAATCATCAGGTCCAGGTTCAATAAAAGAACAGAACTTAAAAAAAAGATATCATTTCTTGTTTTGCTTTCTTTTCTATACAAATATGAGTTTCTCAGTCCGTAATTTATAGCTTTCAAGCAGCAGGGCTACAAGTAGCCTCGTGCTCCAAAGTAGAGCAGCAGTGGCAGCAGGGAGGTGACACCAACAGACTGTCTGCAGACGGCTGAGTCTCTCAGGATGGCGTTGGATGCACTTGGACCGTCTACCTTTGGAGCCTGTGGATCAGACTGAGAAGACAGACAAACGTTCACTGTTTCTAAATGAGTCAAGATGACAAAAACAGGTATTACACTGGAAAAAAACAAAATCTAGATACAGTAAGTAATTGTAAAATAAGTGCATTTGTTCTTTAATTAAGGAGATAAAAGAGACATTTTGCCAATGGAACAATACAATATACATTTAAAATAAGAAAATACAATTGCATTGTCTTATTATACGTGCATATTATCAAATTATCTTATTTAAAGAGTAAATATACTCATTCCATTGGCAAATCTTCTTATTTACCTACTCAAATTAAGGGTAAATACACTTAATTTAAGACATTTTTACTCATTTTTAGATTATTTTTGCAGTGTACCTTCAGCATTAGAGTTCATATTAAATTTCTACAAGGAATCCATAACCAGTTGTACTGTATTTGTATTTGACAAACATTTATTTTCAATGTAAGAACAATATAGTAAAAAAATATTGTAAGCTGTTCAGATTAAATGTATTTCAAAAATTATTGTCACAGGGACGTCACTATGTTGCTTATGCTGCATTATTTCAGGGGACAGTCCAGGTTTTGGACCACCTCTCCCCAGCTAAAGCTGTCCCTGGATATGTCCCTGATTTTACCGTTTCATTAATGAGGGGGGAAATGTTACGTGTCGACTGTTATTATGGTAGAAAGTGCGCAAGCAGGCTGCGCACAGAAACAGCTGTTAGCTAGCTGATTGGCAGCTGTTAACATATAGATGAGGAGCAGAGTGCAGCACTTTTAAAAAGGACGAGGAAGTTCCTTATCTCAGCTGCCCTGTGTTACGGTGAGTGTGTTAATCGCCTCATTAGATTTGAATTGGGCTGATCATTGTGATAAATGTTAGGTTCGCGCCCTAGGTTGATAAAAAAAAGAGCCTCTGATGTGTTTGATGAGGACCAGAAATGTAACATAAAACATGCTAATCATCAAAAAAGTAGGACAGACTGTTGGCTGCAGCTGGCAGGAGCAAATAGACTCAGATAAAATCAAAATGAACAGAATGATTGAAAATTCCTTTTAATGCGCTAATCTGGTTCAATGGCTCACCAGGGAGCAACAAGGGTTCATCTAAAGATAATCTTAGAACTGATTGTTGAGCTTTATATCATCAGATAGTGATTTTAAGTAGAGTTATTAGTTGTTTTGCTGTTTTATGGGTATGATCTATGAACATAGACTTTCAGGCTACTTTTCTACCACTAACTTTGAATCTATGAAAGTTCCTCATTATAAAGAATAAGAGGCAGTAAAAGGAAAACTGAATGAGACAAGATCTGCATGATCTGAGAATGATGGAGGAAGAGCTAACCACCTGTTTAATGTTCAAATATTGTGATGATTAGCCTTTTCAGTATTTGATCAGATATAACAAAATCTGTGAGATAACAAAATCAATAATAATAATCATAATCACCATTATCATAATGATTATAATGTGTATGATCAGATTATATGTGTTTGGAAGGGATTCTGATTGTATTATGTCCCTGTTTCAGTGTTTGATTGATAGAAGAGGAGACAAGATTAGAAGACTAATAGAAAGAAGATTGAATGAGAGTGGAGGAAAATATGAAGACTGATGGAGAGAAGAGTTTAAGAGAAGGAAGAAAAAAGTAAAAAAAAAGAGAGCAGGTCAAAGCTAGAAAGAAAAGAAGATGGAGAGGGAAAGAGACAGAGAAGACTGAATAAGCAGATGGCACTAATAAAAACTATTGGTAAATTTATTAATTTCATTAATCATAGGAGGGGCACAATCCTGGATTTTACTCTTGATTTTTGTTGTTTAAATATTAATAAATATGTAAAAAATGGATGAAAGCATCTCTGTTCCCATTTTCTACTTTAATTTAGATTATATATATTTTGTTTTATCTATGAGCTGGAAATGTCCTCAGATTGGATTTCAGAAACCTGGTCACCTTTAGTTATCTCACCTGTGTGTGCCTGATCAGTTCCAGAAATGGCATCCTACTCTACATCTGGAAGCTAATTTATTTCACATTTGTTATTTTAAATAAATGTAGTATTTTTGAGACAATCAATTTAGCGAGAGGAAAGTAAAATGATACGTTGAAACGACTGAAAGATGCTTCAATGTCAATTTAAACCGGCTATTTCTGTTAGCTTAACATAGTGAACAGTAGATCACAAGTTGATTAGTTTGTTTCAACAGATATCTCAGGTACAATGGCTCATCAAAACTTCAAGGTGACGATGCAATATGGTACATTTACATCAGTCAGGCCTAAAAACAACTGTGATAATTTTAGGCCTTTTCTGTTTACTCTGCAGGTTTCAGCACAGTAGGATCTAACTGCTTCAACCCAGCATGCATTATACAGGAGGAAAACTGGCGAACCGCCATGGATGAGAAATATAACAAAGAATATAGAATGTTGAAGTTATTCTAAAGGTTCATATATCAAAAATTAGATTTTTTTTAAGGATAATGGGGAAATGAAAATCAATTTAAACTAACATGTTTTTCTATTATGGACCCGTTGAAGATATGCTACTGACAAACCAGAGGATTGCTGCTATTTAGGATTATATTATAGATCCTTCCAAATGTCTGATGTGTCTTAGAAATGCAGTGGAACAAATAGAAAACGTTCATTTTTAAACAGTCTTCAGTGAAGGGCAGCTCTCAGCTCAGCTGCAGATGTTGGACTATCATCTCATAAGAAACTGTGGTATTCTGTCTGCACTGGTGTTACAGGGATTAGCCCTGTAACAGAAAAACACTCCTGGGTTTCAGTACTCTGACTTAAAATAACATGACTTTCTGCTTAATTGGTCTTAAATTGTCCTTAAGAATGTGTCAATTCTTTGTCCTTTGTGCTCTTATGATGACTGACAACCTGTCCAGGGTAAGACAGAGCAGTCAATTACAGATTAGTGGGGCAATTAGTGAAGAATTAAGAGCAAATCACCCTGCAGCAATCCCTTCTCTTGAACAAGAGGGAAGCAACAGTGGACAGTGGGGAAGATAGAACTGTTAACCTCACAGTAATCCCTCATAGAGAGGAAGTATGTTACAGAGGAAACTAAACCTTTAATAGGTAAGAAACTTTGTGCAGAACCTGCCGTCAGTGAATGCATTTACTCTCATAAGTGAGTAAGTCAAGATTTATAAGTGAGTAAAGCCAAATGTGGTAAAAACTGTAAAGCTAAGCAGTACACCTGGTCTGCATGTTCACACTGCGGTATTAAACCAGCAAAGGCCACTATGAATGCAACTATCTTCATTAAAAACTGGTTCAAAGCTACATAAAATTTGGATACATTCTTCACTAAAGGAACAAAGTATTTTTGTTATATTATATATTTCTGTCCGCATATTTAAGTATTAGCGTTTTAGTGTTCATCATCCTTTGTGCATTCCAGAAAAAGAATTTTAAAAACAATCCACTGGTCTTTGTTTCCAGGTTTAAAGATGTTTCTCTTCCATCCAGGAAGCTTTTTAAATTCAAAATGTCAGAAATAGCGTTGAGTTCCAGGTTTTATGCAGTAGCCCAAAAAAGCCTTGGTTTTGTATAGAAAACCTGCAAAGAGAAACAGATGAACGGGTCCACCCCTTTGCAATGGGGGTCATTTGACTTCTTTCTTAGCCTGTAATACCCCATACCTGTCTATGTCTCTGAAAGGGGGTCGTTAAAGGGAACTGTTGGCCTGGCTGAAAAGGCAAGGTCCTCTTCTCTCCTGTACAGGGGTTGGAGTTGCAATTATAGCGGGAAGGAATCAACTCTATAGCTGCATTGTTTTAAAAGCTGAAAGCTGAGTCCACCTGCTCTGTTTAAGGTTGGTTTTTCTTTCTTAACATAAATGGCTTCCTTCACGCCCCTCTCAAACCACCTGTCTGCTTTGTCCAGAATGTGAACATTCTGGTTCTCCAAAGATTGCCCTTTGTCTATAGGGCGTAAATGTAGAGTCTTGTCCTGAGGAGGGCGCTCTTCTGTGTTGGGCCATGCATCTGTGGAGAGGTTTTTTGGTTTCTCCAATATAAAGACCAGAGCACTCATCACTGCATTGAACTGCAGACACCACTCTGCTCAGATTGGGTCTGAGGGTTTGGTCTTTAGGATGAACTAGTCTCTGTTTAAGGGTCTTGATTGGTTTAAAATGTTCTGGGATTTTGTGTTTGGAGAAAATCCTCTTGAGTTTTTCAGAGACGCCAGCAACATATGTGATGGAGATGGTTTTGCATTTAATCTTCTCACCGTTATGTTCTGCTGCGTGTTTTCTGGATTTTCTTGCTGATTTGACAAAAGCCCAGTTGGACTGTATAAAACCTGGAACTCCATGCTATTCCTGACATTGAATTGAAAAAGCTTCCTGGATGGGAAGAGAAACATCTTCAAACTTGGAAACAAAGTCTATGAGATTGTTTTTAATTTTCTTTTTTTGGAATGACTATGACCTTGATGACTGAGAATCTTCACCAGCATCTTTTTTGCAGCATCATTCATTAAAATGCTGTCTTTTATGTCCCTTCATTCAGTTTAATTATGTTATTCTTTGTTTCAATGCCAGAGTGACCCTTTGTCTTTGGGTTAAAAATGTTCTTTTGTTTCAGATTTGTAACTGTCAGCCATGTTGTTGAAAAGCCTAATCCATTTGTGTTTGTGACATTTTCCTTCTCCGATAGCAAAAATGTATGGCAGGTAGTAACAAGTTATTGGCTCAGTTGAATAACAGTGAGATGGCTAAAAGAAGAACCACTGTTAGCACTTATGCCCAGAAGCATCAGGGGCTCTAGCTTTAGTGCCTATAATTTAAATAGTTTGATCTACAAAGAAAATATTTTTTAATTTCATAAATCATCATTACAACCACATTACATGAATATTTTCAGTAGGTAACAAGGTACTGATTTAAATTCCCCCAATCTAATTTATTTATCATGGTTTAACTTGATGTTATTAACTGAATTAAAAGTTTGCTTTTCCTGGGTTATTCTTAGGTCGTAAAAATGCATGCTGACTTTAATTAGCAGACTGATTACTATAACATAGCAGCAGATGTGGATGAAATCATCTAACTCTATTGTTACTAGAGATGCATCAAAATTGTCTTATTTATAGAAACTGGATTTTAAGAACACTGTACTTCAAAAAACACTTTATCTGATTAAGTACTCCACTAAGGTGGAGCTTGCATTGAAGAAGACTTCAATACGTTCAAGAAGCTTCTGCAATCACCAAGGGATCTCCTTATAAGAAAGGTGCTGCTGGCGATGCAGATGTTTCTGTGGAGGGGCAGCCGGTGGGTGTGAGGGCATCTCTACGCATAACGAGGGGAAGGAAAACAAAGAGCCTCTTCTGCTTACGAAAATGTATTGAGGGAAATATGCTGGTGGAGATTCTCTGTGATCCATTAGTCATGGTCCCTGGTCAGCCAGGCCAACAATGACATTTAACAACTGCCTTTTCAGAGGAATGTCCAGTAGCGGTTATTGCAGGCCAATTACGACCTCAATGACGCCCATTATTAAGGTGGTGGAGCTGGTATTCCAGCTATAATCTGAATGTTTTTATTACAAGGCTTTGTTGGCCTACTCTGTAAAAGCCTGGAACTCAATGCTAATCCAGACATTTTGAATTGAGAAAGCTTCCTGGTAAGGAAGAGAAACGTCTTCAAACTTTGAAAACAAAGTCCAGCCGATTGGTTTTTAACTCTATGTATCAAAGGAAGACAGGAAACATGTTGGAAGAAGGATTGACTGTAAGAAAAGTGATCTTCTCTGACAAATGTTTCTATTTCTTGATCAGGAAAACATAGAAAGGTGATTAGTACCACTGGTCCTGTACCACTTCAATGGTCAAGCATTGTGACACAATTCAGGAGTGGAGTGGTACGCCTGCCCCAATACTGCATACCTTCCAGCAGGGAAGGGGCCATCTAAGGGATAAACTTTACCCATGTTTGTCCTGGCAGCAAAGGCAGATAGATCTCCAGTAAATCCAGGATGTTACTGAATTTTCTGAATACTTTTAACAATTCCTCAGCATGAAATACAGGCTTTTCTTCAGCGTATTTCAATGTATCATGCTGCCAGCCTGGAATTATTCCACCCAAAATTAGCCCGCTCATCTTTAAGGAGTGCATCAGTCCTTTGACTGACATGTGGTCCCCCTCCCCCCACCTCATTGGCTTCTGCCCCTCCTTTACACATGTTTGTTGTTCTTATTGTATTTTTTTGTTTTCCTTTCTTATATTCTTTTTCATTTTTAGATAGACTTTTAAGTAAATGTTTCTTGTGCTTAATAAATAAAATAAAATCCTCTGATAGAATTTCCTAATAACCCAGGAACAATTTGCTTATTACCTGCGTTTTTTCCAGCTAACATATGTTCAGAAAACTGCAGATCTTAGTTAAGATTAGAACAAGACTACAACCCAGAGGTTGTAGTCATGCTTGTTTTTTATTCTTCTAAGAGGCAACTTTTTAGGTAAGCTCAATGCTTGTTTATTGTTCCTTAAAATGAATGTTAACATGAAATAGCCTGAAGACATTCCAGGTATTGTTATTTATGCTCATTAACAAGTTATCTGGTAGATTGTATATTTTATAGGGGTGGAACGGTTCACAAAATCCACGGTTCGGTTCACGGTTTCGTGGTCACGGTTTTTCGGTTCGGTTCGGTATATGTTTATTGTTACACCGAAAAATAAAAAAATTAATAAAAATGATAAAAATTAATGAAAAAAATCCAAAAAAATTTATGAATTGTAATTATTTTTAATGATCCGCGGAAACCCTGGATCATTTCTGCATGTTTTGCTGCTTTGAATTTAATCATCTGGCGCATGCTCTCTATTATCTCCAAGGAACTCAGAGCGGAGC